ACACGAGACCGTGCCTGCAAACACCGAAACAGCTGGCATCGTGGAGCAGATACAAGTGGCATCACGTACGGAACATACAATCTGAAGGTCCCATGTCACACCAGGGTTTGTGTCCAATGTCACACCAGGGTTTGCATTCAATGTCACACCAGGGTTTGTATCCAATGTCACACCAGGGTTTGCATTCAATCTCACACCAGGGTTTGCATTCAATGTCACACCAGGGTGTGCATCCAATGTCAAACCAGGGTTTGTATCATATGTCACACCAGAGTTTGTATCCTATGGCACACCAGGGTTTGTATCCTATGGCACACCAGGGTTTGTATCAAATGTCACACCAGGGTTTGTATCCAATGTCACACCAGGATTTGTATCATATGTCTCACAAGGGTGTGTATCATATGTCATACCAGGGTTTGTATCCAATGTCACACCAGGGTTTGTATCCAATGTCACATCAGGGTTTGTATCCAATGTCACACCAGGGTTTGTATCCAATGTCACAGCATTGTTTGTATCATGTCACACCAGGGTTTGTATCATATGTCACAACAGGGTTTGTATCATATGTCACACCAGGGTTTGTATCATATGTCAAAACAGGGTTTGTATCCAATGTCACACCAGGGTTTGTATCATATGTCACACCAGGGTGTGTATCACATGTCACACCAGGGTTTGTATCATATGTCACAACAGGGTTTGTATCCAATGTCACACCAGGGTTTGTATCCAATGTCACACCAGGGTTTGTATCCAATGTCACACCAGGGTTTGTATCATATGTCACACCAGGGTGTGTATGACATGTCATACCAGGGTTTGTATCATATAACACAACAGGGTGTGTATCATATGTTATACCAGGGTCTGTATCCAATGGCACACGAGGGTTTGCATTCAATCTCACACCAGGGTTTGTATCCAATGTCACACCAGGGTTTGTATCCAATGTCACATCAGGGTTTGTATCATATGTCACACCAGGGTTTGTATCATATGTCACAACAGGGTTTGTATCCAATGTCACACCAGGGTTTGTATCATATGTCACACCAGGGTGTGTATCACATGTCACACCAGGGTTTGTATCATATGTCACACCAGGGTTTGTATCCAATGTCACACCAGGGTTTGTATCCAATGTCACACCAGGGTTTGTATCCAATGTCACACCAGGGTTTGTATCCAATGTCACACCAGGGTTTGTATCCAATGTCACACCAGGGTTTGTATCCAATGTCACACCAGGGTTTGTATCCAATGTCACACCAGGGTTTGTATCATATGTCACACCAGGGTTTGTATCATATGTCACAACAGGGTTTGTATCCAATGTCACACCAGGGTTTGTATCATATGTCACACCAGGGTGTGTATCACATGTCACACCAGGGTTTGTATCATATGTCACAACAGGGTTTGTATCCAATGTCACACCAGGGTTTGTATCCAATGTCACACCAGGGTTTGTATCCAATGTCACACCAGGGTTTGTATCATATGTCACACCAGGGTGTGTATGATATGTCATACCAGGGTTTGTATCATATGTCACAACAGGGTTTGTATCATATGTCATACCAGGGTTTGTATCCAATGTCACACCAGGGTTTGTATCCTATGGCACACAAGGGTTTGTATCATATGTCACACCAGGGTTTGTATCATATGTCACACCAGGGTTTGTATTCGATGTCACACCAGGGTTTTATCATATGTCACACCAGGGTTTGTATCCAATGTCACACCAGGGTTTGTATAAAATGTCACACCAGGGTTTGTATCCAATGTCACACCAGGGTTTGTATCATATGTCACACCAGGGTGTGTATCATATGTCATACCAGGGTTTGTATCCAATGTCACACCAGGGTTTGCACTCAATCTCACACTGGGGTTTGTATCCCATGTCACACCAGGGTTTGTATCCAATGTCACATCAGGGTTTGTATCCAATGTCACAACATTGTTTGTATCCAATGTCATACCCGGGTCTACCTATGAATCGGTCGTTATAAGCAGCTAGAATTGTTCGAAACGATTTCATCAATTTAAATCGCAAGGATTCGTGTATCTTTCAAAAGCAGCGCAAAAAAAAAAGTATTATATCAATTAAACCCCCCCCCCCAAACCACCAACACCATAACCACCATCACAACCACCACCTATTTTTCTCTTGCTTGCCCCTTTGTATCATATGTCACACCAGGGTTTGTATCATATGTCACAACAGGGTTTGTATCCAATGTCACACCAGGGTTTGTATCATATGTCACACCAGGGTGTGTATCACATGTCACACCAGGGTTTGTATCATATGTCACAACAGGGTTTGTATCCAATGTCACACCAGGGTTTGTATCCAATGTCACACCAGGGTTTGTATCCAATGTCACACCAGGGTTTGTATCATATGTCACACCAGGGTGTGTATGACATGTCATACCAGGGTTTGTATCATATAACACAACAGGGTGTGTATCATATGTTATACCAGGGTTTGTATCCAATGGCACACGAGGGTTTGCATTCAATCTCACACCAGGGTTTGTATCCAATGTCACACCAGGGTTTGTATCATATGTCACAACAAGGTTTGTATCATATGTCACACCAGGATTTGTATCCAATGTCACACCAGGGTTTGTATCCAATGTCACACCAGGGTTTGTATCATATGTCACACCAGGGTGTGTATGATATGTCATACCAGGTTTTGTATCATATGTCACAACAGGGTTTGTATCATATGTCACACCAGGGTTTGTATCCTATGGCACACCAGGTTTTGTATCAAATGTCACACCAGGGTTTGTATCCAATGTCACACCAGGACTTGTATCATATGTCACACCAGGGTGTGTATCATATGTCATACTAGGGTTAGTATCCAATGTCACACCAGGGTTTGCATTCAATCTCACACCAGGGTTTGTATCCAATGTCACACCAGGGTTTGTATCCAATGTCACATCAGGGTTTGTATCCAATGTCACACCAGGGTTTGTATCCTATGGCACACCAGGGTTTGTATCAAATGTCACACCAGGGTTTGTATCCAATGTCACACCAGGACTTGTATCATATGTCACACCAGGGTTTGTATCATATGTCACAACAGGGTTTGTATCCAATGTCACACCAGGGTTTGTATCATATGTCACACCAGGGTGTGTATCACATGTCACACCAGGGTTTGTATCATAT